ATGCATTGTGAGTCCGACCAACTCTGTATCAAAACCCACTTAAATTTTTTTTTTAAGGAACCTGCTCCTAGCTCTACCTCTAAAAGCAGGAAATAAGTCTGTAATAGAGACAATTCAGGAAAGTATTACATTTTGTCCAGCACTAGTATACAGTGGGCATTATATAAGTATCTATGGTTATTATAATTATTAGATAAAAAATATTTATCGAGCACTATCTTGAAGTCAGCTAGGGCTGCCATAACAAAATATCATAGACTGGGTGGCTTAATCAACAGAAATTTGTTTTTCACAGTACTGGAGGCTGGGAAATCCAAGACCAAGGTGCAGATGGATTCTGCATCTGGTGAGGACCCACTTCCTGACCTGTAGAGAGCCACCTGCCAGCTTCGTCCTCACATGGCCTTTCCTCAGTGGTGCTCCTCTTTCTTCCTCCTGTTATAATGGCACTAATCCTATCATTTGAGTCTCAATCAAATCTAAAGGGAATTACTTCCCAAAGGCCCCGCCTTCTAATACAGTCACTTTGAGGGGTTAGGGCTTCAGCGTATGGATTTGGACAGAACATAAGCATTTAGCCCATAATAAGCTTCTGTATAGGCCACTAGTAACTGCAAGAGGTTCTATTGTTGTTGTTTTAAATACATGATTAAAGTGGGAGTCTTAAGGACACAAAAATAATCTTAGGCCTGGGGAAAATAACTAAATATCCCAATTTTCATAACGAAGATACGCAGGTATTCTCTCTCTCTCCTATTAACATCTCCTACACTGTCCTTACTGTGATTGGCCTGCCTTTTCCACAGCGGATAGGTGCGCTGATTAGCTAAGAATACATCTGAATATAGAGACATGAGTCAACGGGAGGGACAGCATGAGCTCTAACAGGAAAGCTTCTCCTTATGTTTAGATTATTTATTGGCTGAGCAGGACATGTAGCAAGAAATCAACTAATTTCTGCTCCTTGTGGTTTACCCACTGGCATTACCTCATCCCAGCAATGTCTCCTCTTCTGCCATCAGTCAACCACCACCTGAGCTGCAAGGCTCTGGCCACCACAGCCCCGCCCCGCCCCCGAGCTGCGGGAGGCCGGCTCGGCGGAGGAGGGAGGAGTCGGCAGCCTCAGGCCTGCTCGGAACAGCCTTTCCTCGCCTTCTCTGGGTCCTCAGGACCTCAACCCTTCCCGAGCGAGCTGCCTCTTTATTTCTTTTCTCTGGACGCAAACGCAAACTGGCAGATAATGCAAAGACATAAGCATAATTCAGATGTAAAGCAGCATCTACTACTAGGCGGCGTGTGCCCGCGTGTGAGTCGCGTCGGCTCCAGGTCGGGCCGCAGGGCGGGGTTCCCCAGGGAAGGTACCCTCCAGGCCGGCGGCGAAGGCCTCGCTCCCCACCCCCCGATTTCTT